GTTAGTTTTGAAATAGTAATTTATTATTGAAATCTTGTATACCATAATATAAAAAAGAATTCTTAATATTTAACAATAACAATTTTTATAAGATCTTGTAAATAACTTTGTAATGCAATTTATACTTTGAACTTGTAGTATAAGCAAGAACTTACTAAAACTATTCCTATTATGAAACTATTCAGATTATTTTCATTAAAATAAAACAATAACGTAGACCAATGAGTCACTCTTCAACAATGCATTAAACAATAATCAGCTTTAAACATACCTATTATTTTCATTAATTTTACTTCATACACTCTATTTCGAAACATTTAAAACAAAATAAAAACAGAGGAAAGGTTTTCTTACTTTATCTTTGATATTTCAATTCTTAAAATACTAGTAAAATTATACCAAATTTTTGTAATAGCAAACCAACTATATTATAGTATCAAGTTGCGATATAGAATTTCGTTTTCCGGGAAAGTCTTATTCCAGTTCCTTTAATGTTCATGAAACTTATGTACTTACGAGCATCTAAGCGTTTCTCAATATGAGTTTATTTTTATTATTCTTATATATAACATATGAACATGTTTGTTTATCTTTTGTATTTATTTAAAATACAAAATAGTTTCAAAACTTGATTAGAATAAGATTTTATTGGCCAATACAACTAGTTTGAGTCGTAGTAAAAAAATATACAGGGTGACTGGTGAATTACTATCGATACTTGAGGACGTGATATTTGACGGTCATATAGGACAAAATAAAAATTAATATAACATAAATATTAATAAACTTCTAAGTAAAGTTAACCAAAATTTATGTAATTAATTACGCATCGTGTGAACACCCTACAGATTAGGTATACACACAAGCACACACGCACACACGCGCGTTCGGCGGCGTGGCGTTGTATCAGCACGCCGCCGCACGCGTCCACACTTGGAACACTTGGAACGTGTCCATACTTTATTTATTTATACGGAAATTTAGTCAAAAATTAAGTACCTATTTTTTTTACACAATTCAAATGAGAATCATGTACCGAGTATTCTCCTTAAATATTGATAGTAATTCACCAGTCACCCTGTATATCGGATTTATTACACATTCGTTGTTTTTAAAGAGAAACACGCCAGCCTCGCTGACGTCACTTATGCCACTTCTTCTAGAAGGTTTCATGATATTTTAAAATGAAACTTCAATTGTTCTTAATGTTCCTGTATTTCTCGAATTTTCTTTATAATCACATAGTACTTCAATGGTCCGCACTCACTGGACTCTGCCGTCGTGCGTCCAGACCTCATATTTATACCAAGATTCAAACAGAGTTCTAATCTCCTTTTAAACAATCTTTGATTTCGTTTTCCTTTTAACAATAATCATGAATACTAATAAGTTTTAATAATAATTGATGACAGCCTCAAGTTATTTTCATGTCGCATCGCATACATAATCCATAAATATAAATTGTTATATCAACTATAAAAAATAAATTGTCACTGAATAGGTATTCTTCGTTCATCTATATTTCAAACTCAACTTGAGATAAGCATTTAGGCCTCGGATACAAGATTTTAAGGTCGGAGAAATTAAGGTCGACTTTTTAAAAGAATACACATTTCATATCAAGTTATTATAAAAGTCGATATTTAAATCATCGATGTTACTTTCCATTTTAATGGCTTTTAAATGTTAATTAATTTTTTTAGTTCTCAATGTTATTTTATTTTAGAATTACTATATATACATTTTATAACCCTATTAACAAAGTTAGAAGTTAAATGAAATTTTGGTGATATTAATAAAAATATTAGATTTTTCCATGAAACAGCCGTTTGAATAGAAATCAAATATTTTTGGTTGACGCTAATATCTATAAATAAATAAATGTTTTGCTTTTATATAAAAACAATTAAATTCTGTAGTTTAAAAAAATCGGTCACGTCTAATGGTTTGTAGACAAACAGAACAGTCTTTAAAATTTTTAAACATAGTCTATGAAGATCTCAAAATTAATGAATTCTTCTTATTGTTATGGAAAAATGCTTTTCATAGAATTCATTTATTTTACGATTAGAATCTCCTCGATATAATTTTCTTACGGAGCCAATAAACACAAAGTTTAACTATTCATCAAACTTCTGCTTAAATTTCAACAATCGATAGGAGAATATTACCTGACTTGAATGAAATAATTTCACCGATGATCCGAGAAATCATTAGAAAACTTTGAAAATTTGATGTTTGAACATTCCTTTTTTGTAAAACATTTCTCAATTTTCTGTCAGTCTATTTGATATAGGTAAATATGTACAATGAAATTTATATAAACATAAAATTTGAGAGTATACAGCTATGTACATATGTTACAATAACTATGTTATACTGAGAGTATGGAGATTTAGGAACAGTATGTATAAGAAAGAATTTTCAAAAACTAGATTGGAAAAAGAAAGGTATATATATAAAAGGACATTACGTAAACCATTTGAGGTTCGCTGATGATATCGTCATATTGGCCGAAACAGCTAAAGACCTAGGGGATATGATGCGATCGCTAGACTGCGAAAGTTCTAAAATCGGCTTAGAAATGAATACCAACAAAACCAAGATATTAACCAATTATTGCGAACACCCAATTACAATAAAAAATAACAATATAGAATATGTTAATCACTACATCTACTTAGGAAAACAAATGTCATTTAAAAAGTCGAACAACGAAGAAGAAGTCACAAGAAGAGTTAACACAACCTGGAAAAAATTCTGGGCATTAAAGGAAATCCTAAAAGGGAATTACAGGTTACACATGAAGAAGACAGTATATGATACATGTTTGTTACCCTGTTTGTTGTATGGTTGCCAAACTTGGATATTTACAAGCAAAATAAAACATAAAATCAAATGCAGCCAAACATCAATGGAAAGAAGTATATTGAAAATCAGAAAAATACATAAGATTAAGAGCGAACACACCCGTCAAAAAACTAAACTTACCGATGCTTTGAAGCACGCATTACAATTAAAGTGGAGGTGGGCCGGACATATCTCACGTTATACAGACAAGCGATGGACTATCGAAGCTACACGATGGAAAGGACCAGAGGGGAAAAGGAATGTTGGTAGACCAATAAAACGGTGGTCTGATGAGATAATACACATAGCAGGAAACGAATGGATCAAGTTAGGCAAGGACAGGGAGTCGTGGAAGAGGATGGAGGAGGCCTTTACCCAAACAGGGGTCCATATTTCATAACACTAACATACTAACACTAATTATAAATCTAATAAATTAATATACATGTATACTAACACAAACTAAAACATATATTATAATGTAACTGTACCATTGTAGAAATAAGGAATAAAAAGGCTTATTATTATTATTATTATTATGTATAAGAAATATTTTATTTTAAAATGTTCCTTGTTTGTTCTAGCTATTCTTTGAAACAGCTAAACCAATTTTGAAGGGATTTTCTCTAACGTATAGCTCATGTAATATGTACTTGCTTGCTTTTCAGACGGATCCGCGTTCACAGCTTAGTATTACATAAAGTTAACGTCTCTTAACTGTTATATGGTACTGAATCGATGGAAATAAATTTTGTGTTTAAGTAGTTCTAGTGCTGGAATAAATGAAAAAGTCTTCTTCCATGAATCCTTGAGAAGAAAAGTTACATATACATATATTTATATTAGCTGACCCGGCAAACGTTATTTTTCCATATAATAAAACGGCTGTGGCGATAAAAAATTTCGGTTGTATGTATTTTTTAATGCTACAATATAAAAAAATAAACACAAAACATTTCGTCGGAAAAAAAATTAAGAGTGAACAACCCTTAAGATTTAAGGGTATGACAAATAGATGTTGTCCGAATCTCAGACCTACTCAATATGCTCACAAAATGTCATAAAAATCGGTCCAGTGGTTGCGAAGGAGTTCTCTGTCTAACACCGCGACACGAGAATTTTATATATAAGATTACGATAGGGTTAAAAGTAAAATTTAGTTTTCATTAAATATCCAAAAGGTTCACTTTCCATATAAATACCAATTTTCTTTTCTTTTTTCTTCCTAAATTATCAATTTTCTCAATTGAAAAATCCTTCAAGATAAATTATAAGTGTTAATCAATAAGTAAATAATATAACTAGTTCTTTATAATAATACAAAAACAAAGCAATCGTACAAACCTTTAATGTTATTGGATAAATTTCAGAAATTGTCAAACAATTTTCCTTTTGTGGCAATAGATATACTTGCGATAACACTCCAGTGAATTATTATTGCAAACACTCAATTTATTTCCAAGATAATGAAACATTGAACTTAACAAAGCTGGGACGGTGACGTATTGATGTTAAGACACATTTAACAAAGTTATTTATATAATAAAGAAATAAAAAAATCAGAATAAAACTCACACTTTTATTATACTATCTAATTTAATATAACACAATAATAAATTTGATATATTAATAGCAGTGTGTTTAATTTTAATATTAAACTTAATCGGGGTAACATAAAACCATCGTAATATAGATAATAATAATTACGAACAAATGTAGAATTATATATATCAATTTATAATTCCAGAATACTTATAGTCAATACTATAAAATTATAATCAAATATAATAAGTAAACGTAAAACGTCACTGTTTTTTACATAAGTGTTCAAAGAATCGGTAACTAAACAAATTAAACTATCAGAAGTTAAAGTTATTTTATTTGTATTTAAATGTATATTTTTTTATAACATTAACTCATTTGAATATTAAATTGTTTAAAGCCATTTCATTACTAAACAATTTAATAATTTAGCTTTACATAATCTATATAAAATTCACAGTTCATTGCAAATAACTTATATAACAAATTCTCTAATTATTTAGCAGCTTATAATAAATATCAGTCATAATTTCGTTAATGATAATGAAAATAGGACTTTTCACCACATCAACACTTGCTATAAATAAATTCAACGAACGAAACAATACTTAAAATCTAGATACTTCATTGGTTCTAGCATATTCCTCTTTCCTACTGAGATCAGTAACCATATTCCTGTCCCTTCGTCTCACCAAAACGTATAAATATCTGAAAAAAATTTATACACACATATTCTTTATTATTCCTATATAAATATCATTTTTATTATGTAGAAATAAAATATATCATACGAAAATTTTCCTTAAAACGCCCTTGTTTAAGGTCACATAAGATTAATAAAAAAATATTACATTTACCCAGATAAAACAGTCTTTTTCTTGTCAAAAGTATTTTTTTTTTATATTTATTGAGAACACGGCATTGTATTTAAATGAATTTGTTAATAATTATCCATTTAACTAACTAATTAATTATTAATTGGCATTGATTATAAATTACTATTTAATTTAATATTAATATTTTCACATTAAATGGCTGTATAGCGTGTTAAATAGCAACCTTAAGTACAAATTAAATTGCCGACTACATTTATTAAGATCAAACAGTCGTATTTTTCAAATAGATCAAACAGTCGTATTTTTCAACTTTCCTTCCTGGTCTTTATATTCTTTGTAATCCTTTAAGTATCTTTCAAGTTTGTTTCAGGTCATTCCATAAGCATTTATTGATTGAATTTACTTTATAAAATGTTAAAATGATTGCGTTCAGATACTATATTGATTTAAATTTATATTTCGCTACCAAAACTAAACTCGTATTTACAATTTAATAAAATCTCTTAACCCGTCTTTTCTTCATGATTATGTACGAATGTAGATTTGAATATATAAAATCCAAAAACATAACCCTCCTTCATGTCATCGTCGCAGTCAGTAAACGGAATTGTAATATTATTGAAACGAGTAATGATATAGAGGTATTGCGAATATCTCGATTCCCAGTTACATTAAGAATAACTTTCACCATCTGTACGGAGACGTCTTTATTTTTTTAATATAATTTTAAAGTGAAACTACTTTGACATTCTGGGCCGATATAAAATGCAAAAAGTTCAATTTAATATAAAGATTACATAAACGTGACAAATTTTTAAGGTGATTATTGAGTTAAATTTTATCAATAAAATGTAAGTACCCATATTACGGATTTATGATTAATATTTGCGTAAAATGTATTAAAATTTTATTATAACTGTATTATAGGTACTTGCGATAAAATAAAGTTACTATTTATCATTAAAGGTTCCACAATATTGCGATAATAATATACGATATTTTTAACAAAACTATTAGTTTTTCACATATACCGGATATTATATATACAGTTTCATTTTATTTACACACTTAAAAAACTTGAAGTGTCGGTAATAGCTAGTATATATTATATCAAAAACACATTGACTCTCATAACCCCGGTCAAATTTCACCAAGTAGATATAACTTGGTTCCTTACGGTCTGTGTAATATATTCTTTATGATACTTACGAAAATAATATTAAGGCGACTACAGTGAGCATGGCGTCGAACAGATAAAAGGCGCCAGGAAACGTGTCCAATGTATTGACGTATATAAAACTTGATGTCGGCATGTACACTGAAGGTGCTATTGCTTCCATTACACCAATCACTGAACTCAATTTGGCTGAAATTACATAAAATATATAAATACAATCATTTTTCTTAGTAAGAAAATATAAGATGTAATTTTCTGTGACCATATTCTCTTCCACGCGTGTTTTGAACGTAAAGAAAAGATAAAAGTAAATTAGTTGTTTTTTTTTTAGATTATTGAATGAACAGATAATTTATTCGAAAAGATGTTGTAAATTATGACAGACAAATCTTTTGATTTCATTGCTTTTCAATTGAAAAAATTAATTAATTTTGAACAATATATAATGTTCAAACGAATTGTTCACATCATTAATTGATTCATTAAGGAACATGTGATATTATGATTTATTATGAATCTGATAGATTAAACTTTAATTTCATTATTTTGTAAGAATTACTTTTTAATTTCTCTTTTCATCAATCCAAATCACTAACAAGAAATTAATCAACTGGTTTTATATAATAAAGCATTATTTTTATAACCCGGTGATAATCTTATAAAAATTTAGAAAGTCTAAGTTGTCATAAAGTTGGTTTAAAAGTGAAGTAATAAAATAACTTGCCAAAGTTTTGTAAAAAAAAGTCATAAGTAAAGGTTTAACCTAATTATTTTGGTACATATTTTTTCGTTAGTACATAATACAGAAACAAACATTCAAACAAAATTCGCTTTAAAAATATAAATAACTTTAAATATTATATATTTCATAAACTCTTAACAATAATTATAACTATGTATCTTATAATTATTTCAGAGAAAATTTCCCTAGTAATAACTAGAAGTTATGCAATCTTGAGTTGATGCGGTTGAGTAGTAATCAGAAATGCTGCACATGATGTAATAGGCAGCCGAGGTAATTGCATAGACCTACAAACTTACATACACAAGATATAGTTGGGTCACTCATAGAACCTTGGCCACATTAAAGAGAACCCTACATCATTGATAGTGTTTACTAAGTGTGGTTCTATAAATTGGTTTTACTATAGTTAATATAAATTCTTACCGACTTCTTCTACCGGAACACTTTTGGTAGCTATGGATCTTACAGCTGTGAGACCAGTGTGACTGAATATACTGAAAATGGGTGCTGAATAGTACCAAGCTCTGTTCGGAGCAAAGGCTAATACCAAACAACCAGCTATCCTGCTCACTCCTGCAAGGAGACCGATAAGGCTGTCCTGCACATGCATCCTCTTGCATAGAAAAGTTATACAAAAGAATGTTCCTGAAAATTAAATTATATATCAGTAAAAATTTCCCAGCCTATTCTTGCCTTATTCTCAAAAAATAAAAAGAGCTATACACGGATGGTATAAAGATTTAACATTAGTGTAAAAATTGTACTAAGAGTTTCTTTTGTAAAAAAAGATCCAATGACTCCACTTTAAACCATTTATCATATCCAAACAATCTTCCTACATTTTAATATTTTATTTAAGCAGATAAATATAATAATCTACTGGGCCCGACCTATCGCAACTCGAATTTTAAGTTAAACCAAACACAGTGACCTTCGCCCTCAACAGTGATATGTTATCAAAAATTACGACTTAATTAAATCCAAACGTCATTACTACATACAAACATACTTATCGTATCCGCATTTGATTCCTCTGTTTAACCTTACTGATTTATTTTTATACCCGTTTCCTATCTTAAACAGTTTTAATGATTGAATGAGATAATACACAAAGAGATGAAAATTTCCAAGAGATGGTACAAAACAGCATTATTCTTTTAAACTCTATTGAAACTGAACAAATGCATCATTCTTATCCTAAGTGTGCATCCACACGCTATATGCGGAGCTTTAGCAATTTATCATTCATAAATCTTCGCACATTATACTAGTTATATGAGAAACAAGACACATTTCGTTTATATTGTGATAAAAATCGTTCTAAGCATACTGAATGATACGGTAAAGCCAAGATTATTTACAATAAAATTAATTTCCTTTCAATTATTAATGTCAATTTATTTACTAAAATGTTAATCGACTATTATTTTTGCTGGTAATTCCGTTTCTTTGAGATCGTCTGTACATAAAACTTTAGTGCGGAAGCAATTTAAAGCAGTGATGATAAGAGCAAGATTGATTTGTAATTTAAATGTATTTACATCAAACATCAATGAAACGTGGTCATCATTTTATGACAATGATTGTCCTGTACATAACCATTATTTTAATAAAAGAATTCATTTATACCTTTATTATCTTATTTCACGTAAAATGTCTGACGTAAACAATAATATGCAGAATTCTTCAAATTACACGTAACCAAATATACACGAGGAACCGTTAAAAGAGGCAAATATTTATTTAAGACAATAATATAATTTTGAAACAAACAATGTATGTTAAATATCATTAAAATAACCCGTTCCATTATCACAGCATTATGTTTAAGAGCTGTATTGTCAAGATAAAACCTGTCTCCTTGTTTTATAGAAAGTTTCTGCAATATACTCAATACTTGAAGTTTACTGTTCAATACAAAAATTCAATATATATGTACTTATCCTTAAAAAAAAATTCTTTGTCAATACGGACATACGTAGTTTTAACGTTCATAACTCTACAGATATCATAAATTTTAGCATAATTATCTAATTATTTTTTGTAAGAAATATATACAACTGAATTTTTTGCATTCTAAGAGTATTTCTAAGTCTACTACAAGATATATTTTAAGTTTTTCAGAGGAATGAACCTGTAATCTAAACTAGAAAAAAAATTGTAAAATAACCTTTCCCTACTTTAAAGATGATTGAATAGTAGACTTCGTTTTACTTAAAAAGGAGTGGGATGATGTTACTCGTGTCTTATCCTTTTCTATATTTTTCAATAATGATTTTCATTCCTTATTTCTAATGTCACTTTAAATATTGTTTAACGTTGCTTTAAAGATAAAACAGTTAGCTCTTAGACTATAAGTGTATCTCAGATAATTTTAATGACATTCGTCCGTTAACCTCTCGTTTCGTGGCCTTAGTTTGAAATATATATATAAAACCATATTTATTCATATTTCTTGGTTAGGAATAATATCAAAATATATTTTTATAAGTAAACGTACTAGGATCTATAGCAGCAAACATGCTACTCGTAATTGGTTATAAATGTTCCTTAAGTAAAACCCTATATTATGATAGAGGGGATACGAAGGAATCCTAATAATAATACCTGTCTTTACAAACTTCAATTTGAAGCATTATATGCTTTAAGTTTTCTATATTTATTAAATGTAGGGGTATATATATTGCTACAAGTTCTAGTACCAGCCAGAAACAAAACTGTCACAAAAGAAACATTTTAAGAAATGGATCGAATTAGAGCTAACAGCTACTTATTTATTTATAAAATAAATTCAATTCAACTTACCAGAAATCCCAAAAACGATATTTATAGTCCCATACAATGTGTACTCAATTTCATGAAATTGAAATTTATGTATCGCATACAAATAGCTGACTTGAGAATCACCTGAAAAATAATTCTTATCAGATCAGTTCGTTGGCCTGAATTTTAAATACGTATTTTTGAGCATAAATTTTTACAATGCGAGGAATATTAGTGAAGAGTGACAAACAAAAATTGTGATATCCAAATGTATATACGTATTTGATAAAAATTCTAACGTTTTCACTTTTACAAAATTAAGTATTTTGACTTAATAAAAATTAAAGCTATGTCATTATTCGTCTATAATTTATTTAGTAACCAAAGACATTATTTCCGTTAAAGTCTTAAAAAAATGTACAAAACTTTATAATACTTGGTTCAGTCTGAACAAATTTTATTATATTTTATTATTTTAGAATTAATATCATAAAAGCTTTTATATAATATGGATAAAACTCCTTAGTACTTTAAAAAGGTTTGTAAAATTGCATTATAAAAAAAGACTTAAATTATTAAATAAATTTAATAAAAGTCTTTAAATGTCTTTAAATGTGATATTTCAGAGATATATTAAGTGTTCTTTGAATTTCTTTTCAAGTTAAAACAAGTTATAAATAAAATCTTTAAAAGATAAGCATAGTGCGCATTGTACACAACTCAATGAGATTGTAATTACATCGTTGAACGCTATTAGCTTCTGATTGTGTTCTTTTAACATGATACGTAATGTACAATACTGTAAATATCTTCTATATTATATAATGTAAATAAGAATATTTACAAATAACTTATACAAAGAAACTTTGTTAATTGGATATTCAGATTATATACGTATTTTTTCCTATGTATATATACTTATTTATCTTAACTTTCTGAACTTCGTCTTTCAACTTCGTCCGTCTATTCGCTCTCTCGAATATTAATATGAAACTAAATCTTGCTTACTGACTTTATATGGGGACCACATAATTTTACACATAATACATTTTTAATTATATACCTATTAACTTACAATGCTTAAAATGTCTCACGACTTTGGGTTTTTCAACACGATTGTCGCTTAAGGAATTTCAGCAATACCTATTTCGTAGATTTATAACGGTAAATATATCTATCGCTTATAAATAAAACTATTTAAAACAAATATATACAACAAAAACTTATTAACAAAAGCAGTTATGATGAATAAATCACAATGATACAGTGTCATATTTTTAAACTGTCGTCATGAATTCAGTGTATTCTTTAGACTTTAATTAGTTAACATTACGGAAACTATTTCACCGCTTATTTATCATCTATTAACATTGGTTTAGCTTCTAATTGAATGCAATACGACCAAACAGAAGCTTGTTGGCATTTATTAAGCAACAGGCCTTGATTGCTTCAAAGGAATGGAGACCGTTTCCAATCCTTTCTCTACTTATCGAATAGTTGGAGTTATTGGGATTTTAATATTTATAGTTTCATTAAATTACACTCACACAGTCGGTCAAAAGTCGCTTTAATTAAGAAATATCACGCGGTTATCTACTCACCGCTATATTGTATTAAGAATGCTGATTTACAAATTTGTTTTATCGCTAACACAAACGCTGGAACAGTTAATGATTTGTTGAAATTATTGATTGTTTATTGTATTTTTGATATATATACCATTTGTTTTGAATAACTACTTAATACTAGTTAATTTCAAATGTACATCAATTAATTATTTAGGTTTTATTATAAAGAACTCATACTGTATAAATTATTTTTCCGAAAATTGCTATAATTTTTAACAATGTGATGTCATTGTTTGCAACATATTTTGAAAGAATTTAAACATAAATTTTGTGTCTAAATTAGAATATTTCATTGTAGTGAGAGATGTCGATTTATTCATGTTAATATTCAAGGTGACTTACTGTTAAAAGTATTATCATAAAAACAACTGAATTTATTAAAATTTAATAATAACGTATTTCTAAACAATAAACTGAATAACTGATTAAGGTTTTAGTGAAGGAAAAGTGATCAAGAATCTTTCAACATCATTCCAACTCGTCTAGAAATTGAATACAATAAAATTATAAGGCAATTATGTCAGTAGTTTAACTTTCATATAATAATTTGCAATTCAACAAACGGAATCTCTAATACAGTTTTAACTGTTACGTATAATTTTTTAATTTTGTCCGCTAAATAAGGGGATTCTTGTTGCGTGTTTGTGTTGTAGTTTACCTCGATCGCTGAGCTGGATCGGCCTAAATGCAGTTATACATATTAGATTCTGACAGCTATTAATGAGCTATAAATGCTATAAAATAAAATGCTCTACATTCAATTAATGTTTTGGTATACATTTCATTTATCCGCTAAATGATTATTAAATGCTAATTCAATTAATCTACCGATAAAGATGTAAGCCAACGACTTTTATAAACGTGTAGTGACACATAAATATATTTTAATTTGTATGTATTTAATAATATTGAAATTATAACTTGGTATTGTATTTTTGTATGCTCTGTATGTATGGACACTTAATCTGGTCTTTGAACTTCTCAACTAATCACAGTTCTCTGACCGCATTTTATATGTACATACGTCACAATATTATGATAATAAGGAACACAACTACATTTGAAATAATTAAAATTAGGATTTTTTAATAACACAGTGTTTAACGTGAACTTGTTTTATATTCCGAACGAACTAAAGCCATCGCCCGAAGTTTACTAAATGTGTTATAGCTTCATAAAATGACTAAAACTTGTTTGACCTTAGATTACTCACCATACAACGGTCCCACCATTATAACGTAAAGGACGATAACTGATAATATTTGTTTCCTCATTCCAAAAGCACGAGGTTTGACAGCCACTAACACAGTGTTGGCAACCAAACCGAACACCTCCTTAACAGATTGCTTGAAACCACCATTCCCATAATCTGACATTACGTTATCATCGATTGGTAAAATATCTTCAAGTCGTATAAAACCATACATAAGTGATGAAGAATAAAGTATTATTAACATTATGAACATTCCGTAGTAACCTAAAACTTGTAAGAGTATCCCACTCAGGGCAGTCCCAGTGGGTGTGCCTAAAGTAACACAAATAGTTACAAGTCCTAGACGAAAGGTCCTGCTTTCCACTGAGGTCCGATCAGCCATGAAACTGTACATTCCCATAAATATGATAATATAGCTGCCAGTGAACGCCGATGGTAATGCTTCTATAAGAGCAGTCACAGTTAGGGATAATTTAAAAAAGGTAGCAAATATTAGTCCTATATTCGCTATTATCTCTCCAAGGAATGGAAACAGGATACAAATTTTTCGTTTCTTCGTCTTATCACTCCAAGCACCAATAAACAGGACCATTACAGCTGGTATTCCGGTTTGAAGGGGGAACTTCCAAGCTACTACTTGAGCTACTAACGATTGAACCTGATTTAATTCCAATTCCAATCCTGTTGTATTTCTGTCTCTGATGCGATCGCATACTTCATCACCTAATTTCAAATTTATGCGGCACGATTTTTCCAAATGCATATTTTGTACGGTGAACGACGATAACGCAGTGCACATCATATAAAAAAACAGACATGGTTCCACAGTTGTTTCACAAAGTAAATATTTAAAATGTTTCAAAAAACTCTTAGTTTTCGCGCGCCACGTCTTATTCTCTATGTTGTCCGTAAGCCGTATGTTTGATTTCGTGAGATCTATTGTACTGTAGTTATTAACGGTACCCGCACTCATATTAAGCGATACTAAAAGTGAGAGTTAGTAAAAGTGTAGTCACTTGACTATTTGAACCACGCACAGAAACACTATGCATGCGGCGCTGAACGATCGTGACTACTATGCTGTGGCTTTCTGTTTCCAAAAACCAGAGTTTATGTCAGGTTGTAATATCAAGCGCGATATGAGAGTGCGGCGCGAGCGACTCGCATCTCGCCGAGATAACAGAGGTCTTACCACTCGACAACTCTTTTAATAAGTAGCTTATTTATCTGAGCACCTTGAGTTACGCATCACTGTTGTTACGTCTCTTCAAAAATTATTATAAATAATTTCTAGTGTTTGAACAAGTGTACGTTAATAATACAACAAGTATTGATAGTGTGAAAAAACATAGTTTGTAGTTTTTAATTTTTAATAAACATTAGATTAATAAATCGATTTATTTTACGATATATATTATATTGATATGTTTACATGAAACAAAAATTTTATTCCAACCAACTTAATAGAAAATAAAACAAAAGAAAGAAATTGTTTATGATTAGAATAAAAAGAGCTTTTATTTTTCGATATTTATAATGAACATAAGAATAAATTTGTGACTATTACTGATGATTGTGTTTTTCTATATATGTCATATAAAAGTTTTATTATTACACTAACATATTGCACTGGTTGTGAAATTCTTTATATTAATGACCTTGAAAGTCTTAAACGCCAGACATAAGTGAAAACATTAACATTTATCAAACTTTTTGTATGATTCTTGTAAACAGGTTTAACATTTATTTTTATATTTATTAAAATCAATATGTACCAATTTAATTACTATAATTGTATTACACAAGAAACGTTTACTTAGTGGTAAAATAAAAGAAAATCACTAAATCCGTTTATTTTGTTTCGTAAGATATGTATAATTATAATAACTACTTATACATAATATTTATGGGCTATTCTGATCTTAAAATAAAATAACAAATTAAAATATATCGAACAAATGTATTTAATAATAATTATTACCCAATTTTAGTATCGGATATTTTATGTTTTGTAATGTTTTTAATATACAAAATTGCTATTTTTATAAGGCAGGCGTATTATAATAAACATTTCTTTTAAAATACAATATGCCCAAATTACTTCTGTATGTTGGACGGGTTATAACTTAAACAAAAAAAAATATAAATACGAAATATAATAAATGGGCTAGGTAATTTTTAATAAAAAAAAAATATATATATATACTTACTTGGTATTTAATTTCACGAGAAACATCAAGAGAAACAATATTCCAAGTCTATTTATAATAATATACTCCTAAAATAGCTACATGCTATTAAATTATTTAGTTGAATTCTTTTCATATACATTTTTATTATCTAATGTCGATTTCGTATCGGCTTTACATCGTCATCGAATTACGTTAATTCCGTTTGATCTGTAAATGGTGTTTGAGTTGTTGCGGCGGAGGCGTTGGAAATTGGTGGCAAGAATCGAGTCATAAGGTAAAAATTTAAATACACGATGAATCTGTATTTGTATAAGACGGTGAGAGAATTCGCTATCGAATCAGATCACTTGATCAGACAGCGTACTTAAATTAGAATCTAATTTATTTATTTTTTCGTTAAATTTAATTTGTTTGAGATATTTCTGATCTCCTTTCAAAATAAGTTATATAAATAAAACATAATCAGTTATAGCTTACAATTATTATTAATAACATTTCAATATATTCAAAAGTAAATTATATTAGTGACTATATTTTTATATATGTTATACATACTTAAAACGTAATTATTAGGGACTATTCTTTATTGCTATGAAATGTTCAATTGATATAATATATACATTCAAAGTCTTTTATCGCACTCTTAAAGAAGGCTAAATAAAATTTTAAATAGCCTTAGCGGGCAAAAGTTAAAACATACAAACGTAGTAACAAAGTAAATAACATAAGTGTAGGTTCCAGATCAAACTACAACTACTAGTAACTACTTGCAAAGGATTGTGTTAAAAACTAAACAAAAATTTTATAGTTAAAAACTCTTGAAATCAGAATCCTCTTTGAACCGCTTTCTGGGAGTTAATACGTTTTTTCGACAGATTAGTTTGATTAAAAACTTTGCAAATAAAACAAAACAAAAAACAACAGGAATTATCCTAAATCGGAGATAATTTTGGTATAAAATGGAACGCTTTTAGAAACTTAAAAGACATTTGTTTAAGTATATAAAAAGATTTTAGAGTAAAATATTTTATGTATGATAGCTAATAAAAATCATACAAGATGTAAAGAAAGACAATGTTAAACCGCTTATATGTAACTATTAAAAAGATGTTACAATTGTAGGATTGTCATAGGCGTGCTTTTCATTTGAATCTGAACTTTTTACATCTTGCTCAGGCTGCACCTTAAAAACTGAGAACAAATATCTGAAAAGAAGAATTCCCGATCAATACGTATTGTATCAATACTTAAAGTATTTTATAAGTGGTTTTTTATTTAAGTTATTGTAATTTTCTGTAAAACAATTAATTCTTAAATACAATTATTTTTTATGAGAAAAGTGGCAAAGGAGCAGTCGGCCTACATGATGGTCGGTAGGCATCCTCGCCCATGGACATCTTCAACATACGAAATATTTCACATGCGTTGCCAATCTTGATTTTTAAGGAAGTATGCAGGTTGTTCAGTGGGAATAAGGAAATGGTAGAAAAGGATGTTAATAGGGAAAGGGCAACCGGCTCTCTCACTCATCGGACGAAACGCAGCCAGTAAAGACTACTTCACGCCGTTCTTCTGTAAGAGGGTGGTACATACCCGGTCGAGCCAGCCCATATTTGAGCACAGATAATAACTGACCACAGCTACGCTCTAATGTAGCGTTACCACATTAAAACGTAACACAGACGTTTAAGTTATCAAATAGAATTTTTACTTACAAAAATATGAAAATAGCTGGTAGAGTCATCAAACTGCCCATCACGTAAAATGCACCAGAAAATGTTTCTAATGTCAGCGAGTACACTTTGCTGTATAATGGTGTATAAATAACTGGCACCACAGATTCCACAAAACCAATCAATGAACACATCTTTCCTGAAAATTTTTTTTTTCTTATTTATAAATAGGAATTACAAAAACACAATACCTGAAGCAGCAAAGTAAATTTCCATTGAACATTGTTAAACTACTTTTAAAGCGAAACCTTTAAAGAGGAACACTATTATATATACAAAAAGATTTTTTTAAATCCGCCTTACTATTTTGTCAAAATTTATTTTCCTTTTTGTGAGTTCTTTTCTCTTTTGTTTTCTCTTTCATCTCATATCTTATAATTTTAATATGGTCCTTTAAATACCTCGATTTTATATATAATTATAAATAAAAATTTAAAAAAGTATGAAGATTTATTAAAAATCTAATTATAAACAGAACAGTAATAATTATTTAAAATAATCAATGACAAAAGAAACTATTTTTCTTTGGGAATTTCCAAAACCATTATTGTAAGTTTCTGTGCCACACCTCGACTTCATATTTAGTAAATGTTATGTTTTAAAAATAATATAAAATATATCCGTTACTACATTTAATTTTACTTATAAAAATATAAAAGATAAATTCAAAATAAATGAAATTTGTTAGCTTACCGACTTTCTCAGCGTCAACGACTTTTGTACCCATCGATCTCACGACGGTGGAACCAGAATTCCCGAAGAAATCTAAAACAGGTCCTACGAAAAACCAAGTTCTAGTCGGTGCTAAGCCATAGAGCATGCTCGAAAGTACTTTCGATGAAGTTGCTAATACACCTAAGGCTGCATCGTGAATCTTTAGTATCTTACTAAGAACTCCCACTGCCACTGAGGTGCCTGAAAATATACAATTGTTGGGCATTAATTGACTTTTATATAGCCTGTGTTTCTATATTTGTAACATACAACAACTTCATATTATTATAACAACCGCATAAGCTCCGTCAAGAGTTCCATTGGTATTTTAAAAAGTTTCTATATGCACAAAATCCATGTAAAAAAGAAATTTTAAAATTTTTCATCCCTACAATATTTTATCTTATAGAGAGACTAGTAAATGTCAGTTATTGCTATTATAAATACCCAAAGACAAGATATTTAGGTTGTCTTTGTACCGAAAACTTAAATTTGATTTTTATTTATACATAATGAGAGGTAAATAATGTGAAGAAATGTAAAGCTTAAACACGATGTACATATGTCGGTATATTTGTATTTTAATAGTCAAAACAATCGTCTGGTCAGTGGTTCTTATAATAATCAAGTTCTCTCAATGTCAAGTTATTTAACCTTGATGAAATGAATCTTTGTATGTGCCTTCTATTTTATTAATAACTATTGTGAACGATGATGGCTATTTTTTGTGATAAAACCTTTATGTCATTAAATTATTTTTTGTAAATAGATTCTTTCAAGATGAGTAATCAACCTCATACCAGGATATCTCTTACCATTACGTTTTCCTTTGACTAATTTAACTTTTATTTGTATAATATTTCTCACAATTGAATAAGTCAAAGGTTTAAAGCTCGTGATGGTATTGTCTTAAGTTTATTTGACGCAGTTCTCTTTACAAATACATTCACTGCATCTCCGAATACATTATTATGTATAATTACTGTATGAAAAATCATTTAAAAATCGAAATGTTTCATTTTTAGTTGCGTATCAATTAAGTTCTAAAAGTTTTGTAAACGATATCTGTCTAGTAGATTAGTCGTGATGCTCACATAAGTAGGGCAGACTTCATTTTATTTATACATATAAATAAAAGCCTTCAAAATAGTGTTCAAAGTGTTATCGATGAGGTAATATGTAACCTCTCTAAAGAGCACATAAAACATTTCCACATTGTCGATAAGAAATATAAATATATTACCATGTTTTAATTCAAATGACATTGGTTTTATTTTAGATAATTCTCTCAGTTATTTCTATTCATTGTAAAACATATCATTCGGGTCTATATTTATAACTGGTTATCAATTACATTATCAACAAAAATATGTTGTATGCATTTTAAGAGCTTTATAATTTTGAAAATGAGGAAAAAAATAAGATAAACCTTTTCGCTACATATATAATATACATATGTACATATACTTTATAATTAATCGAGACGAACAGGATTCGAACCTTAAACCTTCGGGATATCACTTTCCAGTTAATTAACAAATTAAGCTATCATGTCTGTTTGAATTTTCTAATCCTTATTTTCTATTTTAGATTTTACTATAAGTATTAACTAAAGTCTTAATGTTAAAATCTTTTTATGAATTTTGTAAACGACATTACAATATGGTGATATAAGAAATCATAAATATAAAATCAAGGAATATCTCATTACGAGATAATAAAATAAAGAAGTCATTCGTACGGATTCCTATGTCTCGTAAATTATGATTTTGAAGCAATATAAAATTAACAAAGTAAAATATCCGAAGCAATAAAATATCTCAAAATATAAATTATTAAGTCATTATTTATGATTATTATAGATTATTAAGTTTTTATTTATAATTTTAGTTATTATTATTTTTGAATCATAGAAGATTTACGTAACATGATGACTTAATCTTAAGAAACTTGACGGTAAAAGTCTTAATTGCTAGACCCACAAAAAGATATAAATGGACATTCAAGTTCCTAATTGGAGTAGAAAATCTTAGAAAGTTTGAATTTTAGTAATATATTTTATAACTTACCAGCCAGTCCCATAAGTACCGAGTAAGTAGAAAATAGACTAAAGTCAACGACATCCATTTTAAACTTTTTCAATGTATACAAATATAATACGGGACTTTCACCTAAAATTAAATAAACATTGATTATGCAAAATTACAATTTTTTTATGTTTATTTACAAATATACTCACCAAAAACAGGTCCCATTACAATTATGTGAGCCCAAACAACCAACCATATTGGTATCAACTTTTTCGTGCGAGGTATAAATAGTAAAGATAAAGTGTCCCAAGCATTTAAAGGATTAAAGAAATCTAAAAGCTTTTCCACGAAAGTACCTCTTAATGGTTCGTTTCTAACATCGTGTACTCTAAACCACGTTTGTAGGAATCCAAATGTGAAAAATACTACACCTATACCAAATATTCCATAATATCCCACGAGTTGTATCAAAACACCACTGATAGATGTTCCCAAAGGAATTCCTAGAGTGACAATAACGGCTACGCATCCCATTCTGAACGTACGATTTTCCACAGTCGTAACGTCAGCTATAAAACTATATGAACCCATTAGAGCTATTGATAAGCCACCGGTAAGTGCAGACGGTAAAGCTTCTATTAATCCTGTCACCCATAAAGGCCACTCTAGGAAATAATATGTGGTTAAAATCATCCCTATAGCTGATATCAGTTCTCCCAATATAGGTATGAGCATCAATAGCTTTCGATTTCCAGTTTTATCACTCCAAGCTCCAATAAACAATATGGCGATTGCTGGTATACCACTCTGTATTGGTTGTTTCCATGCAGTCATTTCAGCGACTAGTTTTTGTGATTTATCTAAAGCAAGTAGTGTCATGTTATCACTAAAATTACCAGCTATGACTTGGGAGCAAATAAATTCTGAAAAATTAAGGTCAGCTCTGCAGGCTTTTTCCATATTAAGTTTCTGCACTGTTACAGCTGATATTATATTTGGAAATATATAACACAACAGAAATGGTTCTACTGTAAAGAATTGCAGGAACTGTTTTAATTTCACAGTGATTAAACTTGAGGCGGCCACTTTATCCGTGCTTTTATTTTTTTCATTCTCATAACAATTTTCCTCAACATTATTATCTTTTGAGTCAGTTAGTTCCAATTCACTTTGAAATCCACTTTCCATTTTGTATTATTTAATATAACATTTCCAAAACACATTTATTAAAACACGAACGCTTATAGAAGATCACAAGTCCGCACATTTGTAAACACGGATATCAAATGCCTCAGCATTATTCAACTTACCAAACTTGTTTTATCTCAATATAATATAACACCAATTACACAACATCCGTCAAAAATCATTGACGCATCCTTGATACAACAGTATATTATTACAAATGACGTTTGTATTATTAAGGATTTGTTTTTTTTTAATGTAAATATTTAATATAATTTTTTCTCTCAAGGCTAAAACTATTATTAAATAAGCATTGAAACAGTACCATTGTGAACAAATGTTATTGATACATAATATATATAATTAATTTTTCGTAATGCTCTTCAGTACAATTCTTCTAACTTTTTTTTTTTTTTATGTCAAAGGTGGCAAACGAGCAGACGGCCCACTTGATGGAAGGTGGTTGCCGTCGCCCATTGACATCCGCAACAAAGATGTTGCGGATGCGTTGCCAACCTTGTTTTATAGGGATAGGGAGGGGTGGGAATAAGGATATTGTAGGAAAGGGTGGGAATAGGGAAAGGGCAACCGGCTCTCTCACTCATCGGACGAAACGCAGCCATTAAAGGCTACTTCACGCCGATCTTCTGTGAGAGGGTGGTACTTCCCCGGTCGAGCCAGCCCGTGATCGAGCTGTAGTAACTAACCACAGCTAGGCTCTACCACCTTAAAATTCTTCTAACTATTCAATTTTTTGATGCAAAAAACTAGTTTTGTATCTCGATTTTATTATATCGATGAAATTTGAAAGGATATTTAAACAAAAAAAAATGCTTCAATATAATTAAACTTTATCTCAACACCTTAGAATAAGAAACATGAATATAGTGGAGTAAATAGAAACGAAGATTGACATTTTCCTGTCTCTAGTTGATTTCTATCAACGGCAATAAAAAAAGTAACAGCGTATTTTCTTTTCACTGATAAACAATACCTTAAAGAGGCTTCCAATTGGACTATACGTAGGAGAAATATTATAAATTTCCACAGGATACTTGTGACTCGGCCGCCAGACAATATTCGTAAATTTTAAGGCGCAAGAGTTAATACAGCTTACAGTTCTTTGTAAAACCAACTAGCTCACTAACGAACTGACTAAGAATAGGTTGTCGTAAATTTGTACGTGGTAGATGTGGGAGTGAGAGATATAAAAGCTTAATTTCTCTATAACCTACTGAAAGGCTTAGACCTTTCCAGAACTAACATCAATAGACTTTTAAAACGTACTTCAAAGACAGCCTTTGTAGGTTCGTTCAAATTTAGTTAGGTAAAGAGGAGCTTGGACGCTGGAGGAGAGAGTTTAACGCGCTTTAGACGAGAGCCCCTTGGGTCGGAAGTCTCAGGCACTGTTAAAACTTCTCTGACTTCAACTCGATGGGACTGGCATCATCACGGTTAATCCATAGAATGCTGAGAAGTTTCCTCTCTGTCTTTTGAAGACATATGTTGCTGTTGCGGTGGTTTATTCTGAAGGAAAGTGATAATAATTTTAAAGTTACATATTGTTATTCGTTAACGTTAACATTTTTGCATTACTCTCAGTATTTTGAATACCGAATATTTTTGTGTGAAAAATATAAAAATATTAAAACGCCGTAACGTATAAACGACCCAACTTCATGAGTGCCACAATGGTGGCGTTCCTCCAAATTTTTCATTTTGAGGTAGAATATTTAAAGGTGATGGATTAGCTCACGCCGATATTCTCAGTTATAGTCCGTTAGAGAACTTTTTTATATCAGTGGTTCGAATAATGATTTTCACTCATTGAATTTATTTATAAATGTATCAACTTTTGAACACAATAGGCTTCTCATCGGACATAAGCTTGATCCATTCTTAAATAATTTTCTTGCCAATTTAAAATCTAATTCAATTCTCCAGCAGGAGCTAATTTACGTATTATTTAAAGATATAAAATATAAATTATTGAAGTGTTAGATTGTAATACATAATTAAACAGAAAAACTGGTTATAGAGTGCATTTTTATTATTTTATTTCTGCATGTTCGGGACATGGATGTTTCGAATTCTTTCCAGCAATCGTAATCACTGGCAGACGAGATAAAATTAAATATGTTTAAATAAAAAAAAACACATAGTCTCCGAAAAGTTTTATTTAAATATGTACACGCAAACATCTTATAGATCATTATTATACCCAATGCCCCGAAATTTTCAAACAAAACACGTCGCCATAAATAAATAAATCACAGGTTGTATGAACGGTAAACGTAGCCAGACTGAATATCAATTTTGTTTTTATTGATAGTTTCATAAAATAAATGATATATAAAAATGACCGCACAACAGAATCCAAAATAAAATGTTTACGTGAAGTTATCTCAATATTCGGTACCTCTACTTGTCTCATACCCAACCAAGAACAAAACATGACCTCCGCAGATTTAAAATTATTTTGTTATACGAATATTATACAACATCAAATAGTGATCAGAGGTGTCTGTAAGACTAATGACCAGAATGAACCAATCAAGGTAATTAAGGATAATTTGTCAATTATTAAAATTACAAGGAAGTGAAAAAATTCTATACAATACCCACAGTTGGTAATAAGACCCAAAGTGCGTCAAGACATCAAAGGATAATTAAATTAAAGCTTGTGATCCCTGCTCATATTCTCCAGAGTATATCCTGAATAATGTCTAAATGCTTGTTAGTTATCATCTATCTTCTATTCTGACTAAATTAGATTTAACCACGTTGTGACCAATAATCCTTTTTGCGCGTCTCACTGTAGAGTAAATGAGGTAATAATTGGCAGCGCCTTCCCAGTTATGACAACAGTATTCCATACACGACCGTACCTGTGCTTTATATAAATAAAGAAGGTTGTTTGAAAAGATAAGGGTATTGCAAATAAATTTATTTATTATTTTTTTATTATAACGGGGCAACCGAGTAAATGGCTTACCTGATGGAGATAGTACCGTCACCTCTAGACTCTATTTTGCAAAAGAACGAATGTAATATGAATAAAGTTAAAAAATTAGCAACAGATAATGTGAAAAAGATGATACTTCAGAGGGAGCAGATCAAAATTATTTAGAACCGGAATATACGAAGCTTAAATTTCTTATCACCCCCCAAAGAACGGTGAACTAAGCTTTACACTTACCTGAATATGGCCAGAGGCAATCATTAATGTTTTATAGCTAATCGATATTGTTATTTCATTTTATAAGGCGTTGTTGAGTAAACGTTGTATATTTATAAGTTTCATTTCTATATTTATGATCAATACACAATTGATTCCTTAATCTTATTGAAGGTTTGTTCATTGTTGAGGCGTTAAAAAAAATTATTCTTTATTTTTATCTTTTATAAAATTTGTTTTTTTTTCATGTATCATTTTATATGTATAAAATCGTAGTATAATTACTGTTTATATAACAAAAATATTATATATTTCCTTCCTAAAATTCATAATAATATTGTTACTTTGAACTTTAAACAGGATAAAATGACAAATCATTTTCGATGACTTTAAATTTATTTTTTAATTTTAGGATATAACTGTAAGGAATACAATACTAAAAATTTATTAAGCAACTAAACTAAAAAAAATAACTAGTTGGCAGTACAATAAAGTATTATTTACACTTCTGCTACCTGGCAATTTCCCAGCTATAGCCAGGGTCTGCCTTCCATGTTGTGAATAGTTTTCGCTATTTGTTTTTACGACAGGCTCCCTGCCTGACATCAACCCTCATTAGGAATTAGCATTAATCAATGATATCTAAATACTCTTAGAAAGTACATATGACTATTATGACTCGGAAAAATCACATTGGTACTTGCCCGGGCCAGGATCGAACCCGCGCCCTCGTGCATGAGAGGCCGTTCTTTTAACCACTAGCTCACCACTGACTTTAATAAAGTATTATTTACACTGATTTGTATTAAACCATTTATATCCAAACAAAAAATTTATGATAGCTTTTATTTCCTGCAACTTTTTGCCATATTATCTTAAATATTTAGATAACAACAATAAGTGTTTAAACGTATATCAAACATTTTTATTCAAAATTAATAAAACTATCTTTCAGTACATACACTATTTTTGTCTTTTTATTTTTAGCGTATTTTTGAAGTAGCCCGGATTACTAGAAAAAAAAATAATTACGAAACCAAAATTCAAGTGCTCTATTATTCGAATAAAAGAATTTAAGTTTTATACACAAAACATACGCATTAATGAGAGCACGAATGCGGGCTTATATGCATATTATGTCCCAGGTGCTATGAGTTACTGCACCTACATTGATGCTCCAATTCTTTCAATACAAGCATGTGTCCGTGAGATTCAAATATGCATACAAATTTTGATTAATTATTCTTATTAATTAGTCTATTTATTGTGAAAATTCAATAAATGCATTTTATTAGAAGATTTTATTTAATTATTTATTAATGGTGTTAAAAATGGATCAGCTAAAATTAGAATAAGATGAAAAAGATGTTGATCTAGACACAGCTAATTTTCTTGGATTTTAATACAATTCGGGATTAAGAGTGATTCTAGGACCAATATTTATATAGTAAAAATATAGAGGGGCTATATCGAAAGTATATAAATATACATTCAAAACATAGTATTTTACTTGCGGCACCAAGACGGTAGGAATTTACCAAACAAAACAACTGTTTTGTAAGAAAGTTTTAGAATGTTTGCATAAAAAAATACATTTTACACACTTTGACCTCACCAGCCCATAATCACGATGTTGAAGAGTAATGAAAACATCGAGAAAATCTAATAAAAAATAATATAATATAATCGTGTAGTTACAGACGAAAAATAAATGTTTATGTTAAATCCTTTTTTAATTTAAAAAAACTTCCACCAATCTTTTTTGATACTTCTTTATATCCTAATAACACAAAATTTATAAAAATAATAAACTGCTTATGTAAGT